CAAACAACTGGGTGCTGCCCGTAAGTGGGGTGTTTGCAGGTTGGCACAGAATGTGCCTGCGCCCGGGTCAGATCCATGGGAAGCTGGACAGGGTGAGACCAGCCATGCAGGGCGAGTCTGCTGGGATACTCGCCCCCCCGCCTCCCCACATGCAAGGGGCTGCATGGGAGTTTTAACATGCATTTCATTCATTCATTCATTCATTCACTCCTTCCTTCATTCATTTGTTTACTTTTGCCAATTCTGCCCAGTATATATCTGAATCTGAAGATGGCTGGCAACACGTAGCCTCCACACCCGCGAGCACCAAGCTTCACGGCGCTGGTCCCGACCTCGCCATGGCTCACAGGCCCCACGTGCTGCTCTTCTGTAGACACTCACCCCCTCGTCGTGCCAGGATTATTCTTGGCCCTGAGATGGAAAGGCTGCACCTAATCGAGGGCAGTGGTTCTGGCAGCTCCATCGCGGGGACCCCAAGAGATGGATTCTTCAAAGGCTCGGTGTGTTCCGAGCCCTGCCTCCACTCCTCGCTTTTCTTCCTTCATCTTTCCTTCTTTGTAATCTGCTGCAGTTTGGACTCCTGGTTGCCCAATGAGTATTAGAAGATACTGTTTATTCTGAAATGCAGTTTTCGGAACATTGAGAAGTTCTGGGATGTTTTACCACAATTTGGTTCACTTCTGGGCCTCATTTGTCAACAGATTTAAATCATCCTACATATTGGGGAGTTTCAGTTAGAAAAATCTCTTCTCCCCTGTGCCCATTCCTGCCCGATTTCTTTGTTCTGCAGGACAAAAGTCTCCTTTTGCTCTCTCTCTTAAAAATTGCATTTCAGGGCAGCTGGGAGGCTCAGTCTGTGGAGCCTCTGTCTTCGGCTCGGGTCATGATCTTGGGGTCCTGAGATTGAGTCCGTCGTCGGGCTCTCTGCTCATCGGGAGCCTGTGTCTCCCTCTCATGCTCTCTCTCTCTCTCTCTAAAATAAATTTTAAAAGCATTTCTTAAAAAATTGTATTTCAAATGCCCAAGTCTCTTGGCTAGTGTGTGCAAATTTAGCCACCTTCCGCTGTGTCAATAGCACCCTCTGTGGAACTTGAGGACCCTCTTCCCCTTACAGAGTTCCTCCACTCATATGAACCCCAACACACACACACACGCAGGTGCACACACGCAAGGGTGCACACACATGTGCATACACAGTACAGAGATTTTGCTATGCCTCCTCACCCCACATCAGCTACAGTTCCCACGAGGTAGCCGTCCTGCAGTTAATTTTTCAGCCAACATTTATAGAAAGCATACTATGAGCCAGGTATGGTTCTAGGCTCTGGGGAAACCACAGTGAAAAGTTTCTGCATTTGTGGAGTTTATATTCTAAAATAGCACTCTCTAGTAGAAGATCCCTCAAGGATAGAAACAGCCTGCGCTGTTTAATACAACAGCCACCAGCCACACGTGGCTATTGAGCACTTGAAAAGTGGCCAGTGTGGCTAAGGAACTGATTTTTAATTTTATTTTCATTAATTTAAATTCAAAGAACCGCATGTGGCTAGTGGCTGGCGTATTGAAAGCACAGTTCTAACGGAAGAAATCAATGAGTAGGTAAATACTCTCCCCTCCCTCCTTTAACCACAAAATGTATGAGTAAATCTTAAATATTGGCAAGTGCTATGAAGAAAGCAAAGGAGCGTAAGGAAATAGAGTGATGGGGGGAGGCATTAATTTCGGTGGGGTGGCGGTCAGGAAAGGCCTCTCTGTGGCAGGATGACTTTCAAAAGGAGCCGTGAGCACTGAGGGGCTCTGGGCTGGGACGTTCCAGCAGAGGCCCTGAGATGGAAAGGATGCACCTGTTCCAGCAGCCGGAGTGGGATGCTCGAGAGGAATCAGGAAGCATGGGTTTGCAGGCTGTTATAAGGGCACCGAGAAAGGGCTTCATGCAGAAAGGTGACATGAACTGATTTTTATCTTAAAACATCCCTCAGCTCCGGAGGGGAAGGAAGCAAGAGACCCATGGGAGGCTGCCTCAGGATTCGAGGCAGGAGGTGACGGTAGCTGAGACAAGGCAGGGAGAAGGGGCAGTGGTGCGAAGTGGTCTGGTACTAGATTTATTCTGAAGAGAGCATCCACAGGATTGCTGATGGATTCATTGGGATGACACAAGGAGGTTTGGGGCCAGAATGAGCAGTGGTAGAGCCATTGACAGATGAGAAACTCTGCAGGAGGCAGTGAATGGTGGAGGGGGAATAAGAGTCTGATCAGCAGGAATGTGGAGGCTGAAGATGTCGATTTGGGTGCGCTCAGCAAAAAGACATGGTCCCCTCTGCTCTGCTGCGCCCATGCCCTCTCCTCACCAGTGCCCTAAGGGGTCCTCGCCCACTGCTGATGACATTGCCCAGCATGGAAATTCCAGGGCTCCTCCTTAGAAAGGCTGGGTCCTGGGTTCACAAGGGGAAATGCCCCTCCCTGAGTCCTGCTCAGCTTTGTCACCTGAGCCCCTAGGCAGGTGGGTGCGGGCAGAGTCCCACAAAGTTGCTCATAAAAATAAGTCTTCACTTCCGCCCTTGACCACTCTCTTCAGTGGGACTCCCAAACCCAAGCCATTCCCCTTCTCCCTGGATGTCAGCTAGCTATACGTGTTTGAAAACCCAGCTCCCTTCTCCTTTAACCACACCATGAAAGGGCCCCTCTATAACAGCCCATGCATCTAGACGCTCAACAAGGCTAGTTCCCCAGTTTGCGTTCTCTTAATACACCCTACTCCTATGAAGCAAATTGTTCCTGTACTCCCAAATTAGTATTTGTTTAATGCAATTCCAATCAAAATTCTAACAGGATTTTATTTTGCAGATGATTCTGATTTATGAGAATTGGTTTAGGTAAATAAGTGATCAAAAGAACCCAGAAATGTTTTGCAAAAGAAGAGTGATATGGAGGAATTCACTCGACCAGATATTAAAACATACTCTTTGTGTGGGGGCGGGGCGGGGAGTCATGTGGTAGCTGTATTTATTTTTTCAGGAACCTCCATACTGTTTGTCACAGTGGCTGCATAAAACATACTGTATGAAAAAAAATTAAGTGAGGCATAAATATGGGTCCCAATAGCTTGATAAGAGGCACAGAATAGATGACCCAGAAACGCCCTAGTATATATAAAAAATTAATGTATGACAAAGATGATTTCACACGTTAGTGAGAAAAGATAACACAATACATGCTATAAGATAATTGGTAACTTTCAAGAAAAATGGTTAGAATTGTATCTTACAGCTTAACCCAAGACCAATTCAATTCCAGATGAGTTAAATGTAAAAAATAAAGCTAAACCACTCTAAGCAAACAGAATAATATGTCTCAGCTATCAAAGAAGACACTTTCTTTTTTTAATGTGCAAGTGATTTTTGTTTATTATTTCTGTTGAAGTAAAATTGACATATAATATCCTGTTAGTTTCAGGTGCTCATTGTAGTGATTCCATGTTTTCTTGTCATTATGAAATGGTCCCCACGATAAATCTAGTCACCATCTGTCACCATACAGACTTATCAGAGTATCACTGACTATATTCCCTATGCTGTGCATTACATCCCAGGACTTATTTTTTTATGAGTGAAAATTTGTACCTCTTGATCATTACCTTTTACCTATTTCGTGTGCCCCCCAAATGCTCCCCCCTTCTGGTAACCAGCAGTTTGTTTCTTATAATCAGAAATCACTTTCTACATATAAAATCACAATGAAAGGGGCCACAAAAGAAAAAGGTTGGTAAATTTGCTGCCTAAAACTTAAAATTTTTACATGTAAAACAAGAAAAACACCATATACAAAAGTAGAAGGTAAATGATAGACTAGAAACATTTTGCAACAAATATAATAAAGTACTGATACTCTTAATCTGGAGAGAACTCTTGTAAATTAATAATAAAACCACTGAGCATCACAAGATAAAAATGGCATAAATAAGCAATTCAAAAAGAAAGAACACACATGGCAAGTAGATCTCTGAAAACAGTTCAACCTGATTAGCAATCAAGGAAAACACAAAGGCATATTAAAATTGAAGTTGAAGCTTAGATTAAGCGTCTAATTGGCAAGGCTTTTTCACGGTGATATTTCATACAGGTAGAGTGGTAAGTCGGGCATTCTCGTTCACTGCCAAGGCAAAGGTTGGCTGGTGCAAAAGTTGGCCATATGAAGTTCATTGAAGTTCAAGAGAACTTCAAATGCACAAGTGCCTCTGACCCAGTGCTTCTATATCTAAGCATTCATCCAAAGGTAGTTGTCAGAAATAAGGACTCCGGGTATTGACTATAATTTCGTTGAGATGAACCAAAAATTGGAAATAAATGTCCAACAAAAGTTGAATGGCTAAATACATCACATGTGGTCTATCCCTACAAGATAATACCATGCAGCCATTTTTTTTTAATCATCATTTTGCTCAATATTTATAGAAATGAGGAACCTTTCAATGAGTGAAAGGAAGGAACTATTTGGGGTGATTTTTTCTCCTTTATACTTCAAAGCATTTTCTGGATTTTCGCTACTGGTGATTTTACTCTTATGATAAGAATCAAACGTTGATACCCATTTTCTAATGCCGGTGTAAACAGCACTTGCTGGCCCCAGGTATGCGTCTTGCTTCTGATGTAGCGTCAATTTAAGTAGCTTGAGAGCCCAGTGACATCTCGTCTTCGATATCCCCTCCCCAGCAGCCCACCCACCGCTCAGTGCCTTTGTTGCTTTTCTGTATGTTTGCCTCTAAACATGAACGAGTGACCTGCACCCTCGTTTGCTTGCTCTAGGCCAGTTCCCACTGCTGTTTCCAGAGAAAGGAAGAGAAGAATATGATCTTTCATTTTCATGTGCCCCACTCTCACCGTCTGCCCTTACCTAGGTGTTTGCTTTGTCTGGGGGGCCAGTTGGGGTGGGTTAGAAAGAAATGCTAGTTTCTCCCGCCTTGTGGAGAAACACTGACCCTGTCTTTGTTCTTATCCCACAGATATGATGCTGCCTCTTGTGTGTAGCCATTGGCGCAGTGACAATTTTCTGTGCTGAGATCATTCTCAACACTCGAACATTAGACTTCAGCATTCAAGGGAAGCCAAAGCCATTGGTGGGGGAATAAAAGCCCAAAGCCTTTTATCTTACTTGTTCCAAAAATTGCACTGCCCCTTTCCTACCTGCCCCCCCACCCCACCCCCCCCGCCAGATTAAGCTATTGCACGCAGACAGGCAGCATGGCGAGCAAGCGAAAATCCACCACCCCATGCATGGTTCGGACACCACAAGTAGTAGAACAGGATGTGCCCGAGGAAGGAGACAGGGCCAAAGAGAAAGGAATCAGCACGCCGCAGCCTGAAGCAGCCAAGGACAGTTGGACAGTGGAACCCGAAAACTCTTCCAAAGAAAATGAAGTGATAGAGGTGAAATCTACAGGGGAAAACCAATCCAAAAAACTCCAAGGTGGTTATGAATGCAAATACTGCCCCTACTCCACGCAGAACCTGAACGAGTTCACGGAGCACGTCGACATGCAGCACCCCAACGTGATTCTCAACCCCCTCTACGTGTGTGCCGAATGTAACTTCACAACCAAAAAGTACGACTCCTTGTCTGACCACAACTCCAAGTTCCATCCCGGGGAGACAAACTTCAAGCTGAAGTTGATCAAGCGCAATAATCAGACTGTCTTAGAGCAGTCCATCGAAGCCACCAACCACGTCGTGTCCATCGCCACCAGCGGCCCGGCGAGCGGTGACAGTGATCCTGGAATCTCCGTGAGTAAGACCCCCATCATGAAGCCAGGGAAACCAAAAGCTGATGCCAAGAAGGTGCCCAAGAAGCCCGAGGAAGCCACCCCCGAGAACCACGTGGAGGGGACGGCCCGCCTGGTGACCGACGCGGCTGAGATCCTCTCGAGACTCGGAGGCGTGGAGCTCCTCCAGGACACGCTAGGGCATGTCATGCCTTCTGTCCAGCTCCCACCAAATATCAACCTTGTCCCCAAGGTCCCCGTCCCGCTGAATACTACCAAATACAACTCCGCCCTGGACACGAATGCCACCATGATCAACTCCTTCAACAAGTTCCCTTACCCAACGCAGGCTGAGTTGTCCTGGCTAACCGCTGCTTCCAAACACCCAGAGGAGCACATCAGAATCTGGTTTGCCACACAGCGCTTAAAGCACGGCATTAGCTGGTCCCCAGAGGAAGTGGAGGAGGCCCGGAAAAAGATGTTTAATGGCACCATCCAGTCGGTACCCCCGACGATCACCGTGCTGCCAGCCCAGTTGGCGCCCACAAAGATGTCACAGCCCATCCTCCAGACAGCGCTGCCATGCCAGATTCTCGGCCAGACCAGCCTGGTGCTGACTCAGGTGACGAGCGGGTCAACAACCGTCTCCTGCTCCCCCATCACGCTTGCTGTGGCCGGAGTGACCAACCACGGCCAGAAGAGACCTTTAGTGACTCCCCAAGCTGCCTCCGAGCCCAAGCGTCCACATGTCGCTCAGGTGCCAGAGCCCCCACCCAAGGTGGCCAACCCTTCACTGACCCCGGCCAGCGACCGCAAGAAGACAAAGGAGCAGATAGCACATCTCAAGGCGAGCTTTCTCCAAAGCCAGTTCCCTGACGATGCGGAGGTCTATCGGCTCATCGAGGTGACCGGCCTTGCCAGGAGTGAGATCAAGAAGTGGTTCAGCGACCACCGGTACCGGTGTCAAAGAGGCATCGTCCACATCACCAGCGAATCCCTTGCCAAAGACCAGCTGGCCATCGCAGCCTCCCGACACGGCCGCACATACCACGCATACCCAGACTTTGCCCCACAGAAATTCAAAGAAAAAACCCAGGGTCAGGTTAAAATCCTGGAAGACAGCTTTTTGAAAAGCTCCTTCCCGACCCAAGTAGAACTGGATAGGCTAAGGGTGGACACGAAACTGAGCAGGAGAGAGATTGAATCCTGGTTCTCGGAGAGACGGAAGCTTCGGGACAGCATGGAGCAAGCTGTCTTGGATTCCATGGGGGCTGGCAAAAAAGGCCAAGACGTGGTGGCCCCCAATGGTGCTCTGTCTCGGCTCGACCAGCTCTCTGGGGCCCAGCTAGCTGGTGCTCTGCCCAGCCCTTCACCAGCAATTACGAAAAGCCAAGAACAGGTACATCTCCTGAGGAGCACGTTTGCAAGAACCCAGTGGCCTACCCCCCAGGAGTATGACCAGTTAGCAGCCAAGACCGGCCTGGTCCGAACTGAAATTGTGCGTTGGTTTAAGGAGAACAGATGCTTGCTAAAAACCGGCACCTTAAAGTGGATGGAGCAGTCCCAGCACCAGCACCTGGCCGGCGAACACAGTTATGATGCCCCGCAGAGGAGAGCCACGAGGGCCTGCACCACCGAGAGCCCAAAGAACGGGAGCGAGGTGGCTCAGCCACATTACAAGGACCCCAAAAAGCTCTGCGAAGAGGGCTTGGAGAAGTTGGTACCCAGGGTGAAAGTGAGCAACGAGCAAGCAAAAGATGGGGCGCCGGCCAAGCCTTCAGAAGCCACCTCGGACAGGTCAGAGGGCAGCGGCGGGGACGGCCCGGGCAGCGACGAGAACGAGGAGTCGGGCGTTGTGGATTGGGTGGAGGTCACGGTCGGAGAGGAGGACGCCGTCTCAGACAGGTCCGACGGCTGGAGTCAGACCGCAGCCGAAGGCGCCGCAGAACTGGCCGGCTCGGACTCCGACAGCATCCCTGCCGAGGCCGGCCAGGCCTAACAGGTAACTCCACCTGCTCTCCACCCAGAGAACGAGGGGAGCATGCTGCTTTTCCTTCTTTTTATTGCCAGGGTCAGTAGAGGCTGTAGGGGACAGAGATGTTGACACAGACGATGGGGTCTTGTTTTTAAAAGCAAGAAAAGTAGTGATGCCAGCAGGCCGGGTCGAAAGACCCGGAGCGGGTCCCGCAGGACCAGTCAAGACGGTCGTTGGCTTCACGTAGGATGGAACGCAGGTGTGAGCCAGCAGGATGCCAGAGCAGAGTCTGCTGAACATATAGAGAGAGCCAGGTACAGAAGGAGGGAGGGTCTGGGAACCTCAGAAAGGAAAGGAGCATGAGTCCCATCTTTGCTTGGGGTCTGGGGTTTTGATGAACGATTGTGGTCTAGTGCATGTGGCCTCTCAGGCACCCAGGAACTGGTCAGAACAAGGACAGGGTGCAGGTGTCCTCCTAAGTCTCTCATTCCCTGGAGCCCAGAGGAGCTGGACATAAGATGTCTAGCGCCAGTGGTCTGGAATAGGCAAATGCACCTGCCGGCCTCGCCCGGTCATTCCTGGGATGTTACCTATTGTGCTGGAAGACTCCAGAGAAATCATTAACTCCTTGCCCCTTACAAGGAGGACATACATTAAGGCGTGTGTAGGGCAGAGGTGCAGGTCCTCTCGAGAACAGAAGCAGGAAAGAGAGCAAAAAGCAGACTTTTTTTGGGCTTCTTCAATTTCCTTGTACTGACTCACGAGGGGTGGCAGATTCTGTGTCCCCATCTGCAAGGCTGATGGGTGACAATGCTGCTGCCTGTGGCCTGTTTTGGCCACCACCCTCTGGGGCCTGTCCATTCTGAAGTCTAGATGCAGTTGTAGCACGGACAAATCCTTCGCCTGCTTTGTGTTCACTGCTCTAAGAAACAAACGTGAAAAGGATGTGTCTTTCCCTTTTCCTTTTTTTTTTTTCATCTTCTTTCCTTTTTGGATTTTTAAGAGTAGTTACCCGAGTTTACTGGCTAGAGATCAGGGGTTGTGTCTTTTAACCTGACAGGTCTGGGTATCTGCCTTGGCATGGCTAAAGGAAGGCACGGATCTCACTAAGTAACCCAGCCCCTAATTGTGCTGATTGGGTCCCTGGAACCCCTTCAAATCTGGAAGAGACTGATGTAAATGAGGCCTGTGGAGCCACAAAAGCCTGGGAAGGGAGGTTACCATGGTTACTAATGGCCATGTCATCCACATGATGGGACATGCCACCCAAGCCCTGGTGTTTGTGCTTTCACGAGAGGTCTGTGCACATCAAGGCCTAAAAGCCCAGCCGCCTGCTTGGTGGTGGGTTTAGAGTAGAGGGGGCAGCAGGGAGAGGGGTGCAGGAGGCAAAGATCACCTTGGCCAAAGCCGAAACGTTCCAAGGGCAGCTTGGAACCATGAGGAAGATGTGCGATTTACAATCTGCCCGGATGGGCTTCTCCAGAGGTCACTTAAAAGGTAACAGAAGGGGACCCCGCCCCCCGCCCCCCACCTCATCTTTTCAAATCATAAAATAAAGGTAAGAACCTCCAGAATGATTGAAAAAGTTCCCAAGGGAGCCCTGGAAATTACCATACCTCTTTATTAATGAGTTCGGACAACTTTGGTCAGCCACTCATCGATTCATTTATTTTGTAGTAAGATAAGGTGCCTGGCAACAAAATAAAGTCTTCTGGAAACCCTGTTTTAGCCAGTTCTATCAGCTAGTGAAACAGTGATTTAAGGGACAGCCAATTGCAGATGCCATCAAGTCTTCTCCCCGCCGCCGGCCCCCACCCCGGCTTTTCAGGAGGGAGATAATGGGTTACAGGTGAAGATGCAGCACAGCGGGGAGGGGCTAGATAGGAGGGGGCTAAAGGGTACGGAGGCCACCGATAGTACCCGCTGCCCCCCACCATCTGGCTACCCTGGTTCCTCCCTCTGGCTATTTTCCTGCCTTCTTTTGAGACCCTACCAGCCACGCCCATATCTCCCTTGTTGAAATGAGGGAGCAATTTTTTTTTGGTCCAGTCAGAATCTGCCTGAAAGCTCCTTGTTTGCCTTGTCTTCCATCCTTGACCTTTTCCAGTGCCTGACAGAAGTCTGCGTGATTGCTTTTTCCTCCTGCCATGGAGTAGACAATAGGGTTCGGTTCAATTCAGCAAAGCCATTCTGCGCACCTACTGTGTGCCAGGCTCTGTGCTAAGCACCAAGTTAACGGGTTGAAGAAGACAGATGCGAGTCCTCACTCACGTGGAGCTCAGTCAGGCCGAGGAGAGAGGAAATTGATCTTTCCTTTACTGGCCGGGGTGATCCGTGCTGTGATGGGGACGTGCACAGCTGTGCACGGGAGCACTCAGGAGGGGCACCCAGGCTGAGGTCAGGGCAGGCTGCCTGGAGGAAGGGACATCTGTCTCAGGGGCTAGCTGAGGGGAAGGAGTTAGCCAGTGCACCAACAAGGAAGAGTGGTTCATGTGGAAGGAGCAGACAAGGCAAAGTTCCAGAGACAAAGAAGGAATGGTACAGTTAAGGAACCAAGAGTGTTGGGGCATAGCCGGCAAGCCGAGCGTGGAGCTCAGGGGACGATGGGAAAGGGCACCTGGAAGAAAAGACGATGGTTTTCTTTTCCCCAGCAGGCAGAGCGATTCCGAACCAGTCGTGTTGCTGAGTTTGAACATAGGAATGCTAAGTGTCCCTGTCTCCCAGAGTGAGCTCGGATGGCACTTCCAGATCCCCATCCCTGAGTGAGGGCTGTCTAGAGCGAGGCCTCTAGACGGAGGGCCCCGCGGCCACCTGCCCCCATGCCTTCTCCCCCAAGCTGTACCACCACCAACAGCTGAAAATGCCCACCTATGTTGGCTGTCACTGTGTGGCCCCTGACCTGAGGCCCGAGAGAAAGACAAAGAGGGGACACAATGCTAGAATCATAGAGAGAAGCTTTGGAGGGAAGGGCAGAAGGATGAAAGGGAGCGGTACAAGGCCTCCTGAGGATCCGAGGCGGGGCTAAGTGCTCTGGCTGCAGATGGTCTCACTCAATGCTCCTAGTGACACTGACAGGTAAGCTTCTCTAGATTTTTTTCTTTTTTAAGATTTATGGGCTCGATCCTATGACCCTGAGATCATGACCCGAGCCAAAATCAAGAGTCAGACCCTCAACTGAGCCACCCAGGGGCCCCTCTAGATTTTTATAAACCCAGAAACTGAGGCTCAGAAACCAAGGAGCTTACCCCATTCTCCCAGCCCCTCGGCTCCACCCCAGAGCCCTGGCTCCTACGGCTGTCTCTGGCTCTCTATTTTTGACGAAAATTCCCCATTTCTGGCTGACCCCCCAGCGGTGGGGTTGGGAGGTGGGGAATACCTAGGGTGTTTAGAATCGACCATTAAACATTCAGAGATGAAGGAACTAGCTGCTTTCTTCCCCTCTCTCCCCCGCAAAAAAAAATCAGGAACACCCAGAAACCCCCTTTTACATTTCTTCATGGTAAACGCCACAAGCATGAGCTGAAAAATGTTCCTAAACAAGATGCTAAGATCTGCTCGACACCTGGTGACATCTGACATCCCTACTTGGCTTCCTGATATTTCCGAGGTGCCACTATATGGAGAGACGGGCTGCCATCCGCACTGGGGGTGGCATCCTGGACAGAGGCACCCCTTAAAGGAAACTTTCAACTTGGAAGAAATCCCTCCAAATTACTTCACAGCTTTTATGAACTGAACACATGGGTCTCTTGAAATTCATAAATATTCAGTGATGCCTTTATTTAAACACATATTTATTTAGGAAGCTGCAGTTGAGTTCAGTTGTGTTACACATATAATAATCCTGAAAATAATGCACAATTTTGGCTTCAGAAAAGGTGTTATGGGACGTATATACGAGAGAGAGAGAGAGAGAGAGAGAGGATGAACTTGGGTGAGCCCCTGAGAGCAGACGCCTGGGTTTCCCCCTCTGTTGGAGTTAAACATCCCCTCTGCTAAAGCTTCCCAAGGCTTACGACAGCGTCCGACTCAAGCCGGGCTCCCTCAGCCTTGAGGTTAGACAGAAAGGCCAACGAGTCCTTTCCAAACCTTGAATTGTGTTGTCTTGATTCAACCTCTGGGTCTAATCATCGAGCCATCCATTGAGAGACCTGTCCTGGTGAGAGGCTGAACAGTAAATTCCTCCTTTCCGAAAAATGAGTCAGAATACTTGAGCCACACATGGCCAGACATATGCCTCGATGTTTGGCCAGATGGAACATCCCAGTACTCCTACTACTAAGAGTTTCTATTTACTGGTCTCTGCCATGTGCTTGGGATTCTTCTAAGCACATCCAGTAAATCATTTAAACTTCACTTCATCCCCCGTGAGGTAGGTGTGGCTTTCTTCCCATTTTGCAGAGGGCAAAACTGAGGCTCAGAGAGACTTGCCCTGGGTTCCCCAGCTCGAGGCTGGTGGAGGCTGAAGGCCACCCCTTGTCTGTCAGGCCAGCGCCCGACCCAGCCACAGGGACAGCGCCAGTATAGCTCAGGCCAGACCAGCAGGACTTGGCCATTTCTTAATACTACACACAAACACTAATACACAAGTGCTCATTCACTAACTCTGCTACCTCCCAATTTGTGACAATTTCCAATTCATGACTTAGGGATGGATTTGGAGAAGAGATAAAGTTTGTGAAATGCCAGAAAAGTATTTTCTATAGTTCAGCTTGCTTCAAAAATTCAAGGCTACCAAGTGTTCCATCCTGGCTATAATTTAGGATCCAGGATATGTGTGCCCCCACATCTGTTCAGATTAGCTGTCTAAATACAGATATTTGAATGAGTGGACGGATGGAAAGATGGATGGATGAAAATGTAATTATCTGTTTCCCTGTCTCTCCGCCACCAGACCCTTGAACACAGGGACCATATCCCATTAATCTCTGAGTCCCCAGTGCCTGATTCAGAGTGGATGCATAATAGCAATGTATTGAACCTCCCTGAGAATACAAACATAGTTGGCTCTCAATTGTCTGGAATCT